AAAACTTCAGAACTAAAGGAATAAAATTATGAAAGAGTCTAAAGATAAAAGTTACTAAGATCTGGAAAGATAGTTTTTAGTGGCACTCTTAGCAAAATTTCTTCTGTGCCTTAGTTTCCCCAGCTGAATACTTATCATAACATAAGCTATAAATAAGAAATTTATGTGTAGGTTTCAAATAGTTACCATAACCAAAATTTAAACAAATTGTTGTAAAATATTTGAGATTCCTGAAGATGGATGATTGGAAGGTATTAATTTTCATATTTTATTATTAAAGTATAAATTCAGTATGTGTGTTTAAAATGTTTTTCAGTTATGTCTATGAAGAACAAAAATTTAGGAATATAGGAATACATTGATCTAAATATGTGTTCTCTTTCATGTAAATTTTTTAAAATATGTTTTTATTGATGTTAGAGAGAGAAGAAAGAAAAGGGGGAGCGAGAGAGAGAGAAACATTGATGAGAGAAAACCTCATTGGGCTGCTTTCTGCATGCCCCCTACTGGGGATTGAGCCTGCAAACCAGACATGTGCCCTGACCAGGAATCCAACTGGGGATCTCTATTTAGGTGCATGGGAGGACACTCAGCCAACTGAGCCACATTGGCCAGGGCAATGTAAATTTTGATGAAGAGAATAAAAGCAATTAGAAAAAATTTTTAGTCAGGATTAGATTTTTCTGTATTTAATAAGTACAGGGTGGGGCAAGAGTAGGTTTACAGTTATTCGTATGGAAAATAATAACAATACAAGAATAAACTTACATACTCACAACTGTAAACCTACTTTTGCCTCAGCTTGTATAAGAAAATAATCATTTTTACTGTGTTATATCTGGATATTTGTAATCATTACATCTCAGATTTTAGTAGTTCTTTATTTGGAGAGTTAAAAATTATGAACCCATACTTTCAGACTTCTTTAAAGAAGCATTTTCTAGAATAAAATACATCTAAATGTTTCATCTTTTATTATTAAATTTATTCTACTATTTCAAGTATTTTATTTTTACTTCACAATCCTTCTTGGAAGGAGACAGGATTTTAAATCATTAAACTATTAAAATTCAAAATTTCACCTTATTTATCGAAGTTCATATGGAAGTGTACACAAGAAAAAGAAAATTAACTGGTATTTTTCTTCTAATTGTAGTAATATCTTTACATTTTCTGAAGAGATCATAACATTTTATATATCATCTCATTTTAAAAATATCTCCTAGAAATAGAAACAAGACTGAAAATTAAAGAAACTGCTTTAAAACATCCTAGAGTAGGAGTAAGAAGGCCTTAAGTTTGGATTTTAGTTTTGTCACCTTGGGCTCAGTAACTTGTAGTCTCAGTTTTCTTATTTTTTCTATTTTAATAGAATACCTATGTCATAGGGCTGACTGAATACAATAATGTATATGGAATTTGTTTGAAATTCTATATAAATGTACATTAACTTTTTTTAAAAAACAGATCAGGAGCATTAAGACTGAGCTTTGTAAATGATTTATGAAAAATAACATTACTAGTGTCTACATTATGCTCATCTGCTTAAAAAAATTGAAACTGCAGTAATTATAGGTGTCTTATACTAGGTATAAGCAAGAAGTACCCCCAGGAGTTAGATTAGGTCTGCCAAGTGCCTGTTTGTTTGTTTTTTTATCCTCACTTGAGGACATTTTTTTGTTTTTTGTTCAGCTAGAGTGAAGGGAGAGAGAGAGAAACATCGACGTGAAAGGGACACATCGAGTGGTTGCCACCTGCACGACTCAACCAGGGCCGGGGACAACTGCAACCAAGGTACATACCCTTAGCGGGAACCGAACCCGGGTCTCTCTGGACCACAGGCCGATGCTCTAACCGCTGAGCCAAACTGGCCAGGGCCAAGTGCCTGTTTTTGTAAAAAAAAAAAAAAAAATTATTGGAATACAGCTACATCCAAATGTTTACATATTATCTATCTATCCTGCTTTCAATGGAGACCTTAACAGTCAATAAACCCTAGTATTTCTTATCTGACTCTTTACAGAAAAAAATCTGCCAATCCCTAGTATAAAGTAAGCTCAAATGGCTAAGTCTAGTTTTGATTTTGTGTCCTCTTATGCATGTGTTATTTCCTCCTATTTCTTGTTATACCACTAATATTATGTAATAAATGTAGTTTTCTTTTGATGTGTCTGATACACAAATATTTCTATAAAATTTCAGAGTGAAGACAATGTTGACCTAAGGCAGACCTATACTCCACTTTCTTCAACAGAATATGCAAGTTCTGTAGATTCTTCCCTTTTTTATGCACCATGGTCTACTTATGGAGATGATATTAAGCAGCCTTCTAATTCTCAGGTTAATGTAAAGAACAGGTAAGTCAATAAATTTATTTCTCAGGCTAAATGAAGTGTTTTTAAGTTTAATTATATGTGAACCCAGTTGTATTAGCTCTTTGTTCCCTATGTCAACATTTTTAATTTTATATTTTTAACTTTTGTTATGGCATAATTTTATGTTTATCAAACTTCTAGGAAACTCTAAATTGGACAGTTATATATATAATTTTTAGCTTATTACTGTTTTTTATTCATTAGAGGCAACCTTTAGTGAATAAAACTTTGTTGTTGTTGTTGTTAATCCTCACCCAAGGATATTTTTCCCATTGATTTTTAGATAGCATGGAAAGGAGGGAGGGGGAACAGAGAGAGAGAGGGAGAGAGGGAGGGTGGGAGGGAGGGAGGAAGGGAGAGAGAGAGAGAGAGAGAGAGAGAGAGAGAGAGAGAGAGAGAGAGAGAGAGATCGAGATCCTCTCACATGGCCCCAGTCAGGGATCAAACCTCCTCTGCAACCCAGGTACATGCCCTTGACTGAGAATCGAACCCTCTACCCTTCGGTCCATGGGCTGATGCTCTAACATCTGAGCCAAACTGGCTGGGATAATAAACAGGATTTTTATCAAATGTAAGATACTTCTCATTTTTTTTTATCTTCATCCAGGGATACGTTTATTGATTTGAGAGAGAGAGGAAGGGAGACAGAGAGATAAACATCAATTGGTTGCCTCCCGCACACACCCTGACCGGGATCACACCCCGACTGGGATCAAACCCACAACCCAGGTATGTGCCCTGACCAGGAATCAAACCCAAAACCTTTTGGGGTATGGGATGACACTCCAACCACTGAGACACCTGGCCAGGGTTTAATTATTTTTCTATGCAATTCCACAATGGCCTACTCTATGCCAGATTCTCTCCTAATGGGGATATTAGCATTAACATGGCAAATATTATCCCCAACTTTATACATTTTACAGTACTGATGATGATGATTTGCTAGGCACTGCAAGTATGGTGAGGTTGAAAAGAGAAAGTGTAAGATATGGGAGCCTGCTACAAAGAGAAGCCTAGGAGAATGACATTTACCTTTATTTTAATTACATATAAGGAATCAGTTGATAGAAGCTGATGCATCTTTAGTTTAAGCAGAAAATAATTATTTTAAAAATCTTATTAATTAAAAAATTGTTTAAATTTTTGGTAAATTATAAAATAGTGACTTAATTAGAAAGATTATATAATATATAATTCTATAAAAAAAGGAATTTTTTTGTTTTAATCCTTACCTGAGGATATTTTTTCCATTAATTTTTAGATAAAGTGAAAGGGAGGGAGGGAGAAAAAAACATCAATGTGAGAAAGACACATCAATTGGTTGCCTGTAACCCAGGTACATGTCCTTCCTCATGCTCTAATTGCTGAGCCAAACCAACCAGGGCAAAAAAACAAATATTTTTAACTTGATATGTGTTATTTGAAAAAATTAAGACTTTACAAAAAATATATAAAGGAAAGCAGAGATCCACCTAACCTTGCCTCCCCACCTCCAAATAACAACTATTAATAGTTTAGTATATATTACATTGACTATTTTTAGATATATACTAATACATTATTACATAAAAAAACTTTATATTGAATATTTGTGAAATAACATGATGTAGTGGAAAAGATTTGTTTGACAAGTAAAAGTTTGGCAAATCATGTATCCTTGCAAAATATGAGTTTTTGTTTTTTTGGGTTTTTTTTATTTCAGTCACTTTTTATTTTATTTATTTTTTATCCTCACCTGAGGACATTTTTACATTTATCTTCAGATAGAGGGGGAGGGAGAGAGGGAGGAAAAGAGAGAGAGAAACATTTATCTTCAGATAGAGGGGGAGGAAGGGAGGGAGGAAGAGAGAGAGAGAGAAACATACATGTGAGAGAGACACATCAACTGGTTGCCACCCACACAAACCCAACTGGGGCCAGGGACAAACTGCAACCTAGGTACATGCCCTTAGCGGGAACTGAACCTGGGTCTCTCTGGTCCCCGGTGCCAACGCTTTAACCGCTGAGCCAAACCAGCTAGGGCTAATTTTTTTTTTTCTTTATGGAGTTTTAGAGAGGAAGGGTGAAGGAGAGACAGAGATAGAAACATTGATAAGAGAGAACATTGATTGGCCTCCTCCTGTGTGCCCCCACTGGGGATCAGGACCACAACCTGGGCATGTGCCCTGACTGGGAATCAAACCACGACCTCTTGGTGCATGGGTCAATGCTCTACCACTGAGCCACACCAGCCTAGCTTTGGTCACTTTTTTTTTTTTTTTAATCCTCACCTGAGGACATTTTTCCATTTTTTGTTCAGATAGAGTGGGAGGGAGAGAGAGAGAGAAGCATCGACACATTGAGTGGTTGCCACCCGCACAACCCAACCAGGGCCGGGGACAAACTGCAACCGAGGTACATGCCCTTAGCGGGAACCGAACCTGGGTCTCTCTGGACTGCAGGCCGATGCTCTAACCGCTGAGCCAAACCGGCCAGGGCACTTCGGTCACTTTTTATTAGCTGCTTCGAAAAATCGCAACAGGTGCAGGAACAGATTGATGATATCCAAGATGGCAGCTAATACATACTCCTCAAGTGACACAGCCTATGCATCAGTGAGTGTGTGTCATAGATGATGAATCCTCAGAAAAGAAGGGCTCCTACAGCAGCCACGACCAGTTCCACTGTCTCATAAAAAAATAACTTCAAGATTCCTGACAAGCAAAAAATCCACAAAACAGCAAACAATCCTGCTCCAAATTTGCTGAAATCTCTCTTAGATTGTAGAGTATTGATAGTCAAACCAAAAAATACCGCAGTAGTCAGTACAAATGCTTGCAGAATAATATATGCATCATAGAAAGTAACAATACTGGCCACACTCAGAGCTTCCAACAGTGTAAATCCAAAAAGCAGGTACAGGTTAAGGAGATGTTTATGTCTCTTTAGAGTCAATGCAAAAATCAAACCCAAAGATTCAATGGCAAACACCAAAGTTAAGGCAGGACTTTCATGTACAAGCGTCCGTATAGACTCAAAGTATAAAACAATTGCAGATGTCACTGTAGTTAAGAGAAATTGCAGAGAAAGAATGCTGTAGACTTTTCTTAGAAAGGCCATTCGGATGTACACACTGGCAGATGCCATCCAGTTCCCATAGTTGAAGTTGTCCTCGATGGAAGAGCTGAGGTAGCGAGGGACTGAGTCAGCCATGGCAGCACTGGTACCTCCAGCTCCCCACCGAAAAGCAGAAGAGACACTCAAGTTTCTTTTTTTTTTAATTTTTTTTCCTTTATTGATATAAGAGAGGGAGAGAGAGACAGAAATATCAATGAGAGAGAATATTGGTTGGCTGCCTCCTGCACACCCCCTACTGGGGATTAGGCCCACAACCTGGGCATGTGCCCTGATGGGGAATCGAACCAGCGACCTCCTGATGCATGGGTAGACACTCAACCACTGAGCCACACTGGCCAGACACTTTTCTGTTATATTTTATTTTATATTTATCCTCACCTGAGGATATTTTTCTATTTATCATCAGATAGAGTGGGAAAGAGGGAGAAGGAGAGAAACATCAATGCGAGATAGACACATTGACTGACTGCCTCCCACACGACCCCGACCAGGATCGGGGACGAACCACAACCGAGGTACGGGCTGGAATTAAACCCAAGACTCATTGGTCCATGGGCTGATGCTCTAACCGCTGAGCCAAACCAGTCAGGGCAAGTCTGTTACTTTTAAGGGATAATTGCAATATTTCTGTAGTATGTAGGATGGACCATATCACATTTTACTTTCTAATTCAACATGTAGTATAAAGAGACACAAAAATTGAGCAACAGGTTCATATGGTTTTCAAATAACAAATGAAAAATCTGAGCAAGTGTTTATGGAAGGATATACAATAGGATCAGATATACTTTTAGGTGCAGCCATAGTACCGAGCATCATAGATCAGAGATTCATATTTTGGTCACCTAAAATGAATAGCATGTGTTTTGGAGAATTAAGAGGTAGGCATACATTGTGAACTAGACGTAGGATTTTAAATGAAGGAAAAATATTTATGTAGCATATATAGTAAGCTAAAGTGGAAATTATTCTTGAGTTCTTGTTTCTTCTTTATTTGAAATTATCGTATAGATTCAATCCAAATAGTTTATAAAAAACAATGGTAGAATAAATCTGGAAATAGAAATCAGTATCTTGTATTTCAGTGTGAATAAAATAATTTTATGTGATACTCATTAATTTTTAGGATTCAAACAGAAAGAAATGACTATGGTAGTGAAACAGACTTATATGGACTTGTATCTAACATTTTGGAAGAACAAGATAAGTCACAACCATATTTTGCTGACGGGTTAGTATATCATATAAGCCATATAGTGTATAGTAAACATACATTTATTTATTTATTTATTTATTTTATTATTATTTTTTTTGGTACGTGCCCCTAGCGGGAACCGAACCCGGGATTCTCTGGTCCACAGACCAACGCTCCAACAGCTGAACCAAACCAGTCAGGGCTATAGTAAACTTTTAAATTCACATACAGGGTGGCGCAAAAGTAGACTTACAGTTGTGTGTACGTGAAACAGTTTATTCTTGAGTTATTATTTATTAATTATTGTATTCTTTTCCATATGAACAACTATAAACCTACTTTTGCCCCACCCTGTATACTAGATTATCCTATTTATTAACTTTTATTTTTACTTAATAGGGGATTATCTGACAGTAGACATCTTAATTCAAATACTTGTTTCTAGGAGCCTTGATTTTGCTAAGGTCCTTATATACAATTGAAAATTACAGTCTAAGGTTTAATTTGCTATTAAGAACTTTCATTTGGAAAATTACTCTTGCATAATTCAGAGCTATTTCCCTTGAGTTCATGAGCTAAAGTTTGGCTTAAAGAGTATAAAATCCAAGGAATTTATATACATATATCCCAAAGAATAAAATTAGGATCTCTGCTGTGCAGAAATCCATATGGATTTTATTCATTTGGTAAAAAAATTTTTAAATATACATTAATTGTTTTATTTGGGTGTGAAAGTCATATTACCCAAATGCCCTATTTCATAAATAGGGAAGTATGCCGCACACATGTAACCAATTAAAATACTTTAATTTCAATAATAGTTTCAACAAAACACATCTTTTTTCATTGAAAAAATTGTGATCAACAACACTTTTGTATTATGTAATAACCTACTTAAAGGAAAAACTTAATTTTCTGCTTACTATAGATAAAATATTACATAAGACTATACAGTCATCAGCCTTAGGCCTTAGTTAATGCCTCTTGGAAAAATATAGTGAAGCCATATTAAGATTAAAATACATATTCATATAGCATATAGAACATTTCAAGTGACAGAGAATTATTTGAATGTAATGGTAGCTTAAAAGAGTTGAAAAGGATTAGAGGATGCTGAGGTGGGGCGAGATAAGTGTTTTTAAAAACCTTTCCTACCTTCTCCACTGATGATAATGTTTTTTAAAACCTAAATTGTAATTAAATATATTTACTTGTTCCAGGACCTGCTCCTCCAATTTAAAGTCAGTTTGGCCAATGAACACAAGCAGATTTGCAGATCACCATGACCTGTTAACAGAAACCAAAAGGCCAATAGATACAGCCATCTCTCAGCAAGCTTTTTATAGTGGTGAATCTGTGTCAGCAGTGGAAAAGCAATACCTGCATAATAGTAATCTCACACCACAACAAAAAATAGATGAACTTTATCATGGATTTACTGGTTTAGACCTTGAAGAACAATGGATGTACCCCTCACGAAGTGATCATTCTAACTGTTACAATATTCAGACAAATGATACAGCTAAGACAACATTCCAAGAATATCCATTTGTCAAAAACTGTTTTACACCACAAGCTGGCCTGTCTGATGTCATGAAAGAATCAGGACTTGATACTTACCCTTATGGAAGAGAGAAAATGTGTGTTAAAAGTCTTGAAGCACCGTTACAGCAAAAACGGGCAGAGATATTTCTTTCCCAGTTTAATAGATACAATGAAAATGCAGATTATTGTAGATACCCAGAATATGCTCATCCTAATAAGGCTAAGCTTAATAAGTGTTCAAATTTTAGTGTCCAGGATAGTAAAAAATTAGCCAATGGCACACCTGAAACACCAACTGTAGAAGCAGACACCTACACAAAGTTATTTCAAGTTAAACCAGCAAATCAGAAGAAAATGGAAGAGATAATTCCTGACCAGCAGAATTTCACGTTTCCAAAAACAACACCACACATGACAGAAAAACAGTTTGCAAAGGAAGCAGCATTCACTGCTGATTTTGGCTTAAAATCAGAATATGGACTAAAACCTCATACAGTTTGTCCAGCTAATAATGATTTTGCCAATGTCACAGAAAAGCAACAGTTTGCTAAAGTTGACCCCTCAAATTCTGAGTATTTTAAATCAGTGAACTTATTGTCAAACTCAGCAACATCTTCAGGAGGTATCAGTTTAAATAGGCCAACTTGGATGAATGTCCACACAAAAAATAACACTCCTATTCCTTATCGAAATCAAGGTAACTTGATGAAATTAAGTAGTCATTTAAGTGCAGCTTCAAAAGGTTCTAACCATTCTTCAGATTTTCCCCAACTATCATCCGCAAATTTAACTCCAAATAGCAATTTGTTTCAGAAATATTGCCAAGAAAACCCTTCAACATTTCCTAGTTTTGATTTCAATTATAATGGTGCAGAAAGAATTCAATCTGTCAATCACATGGAAGGACTGACAAAGACTGCGGAAGAAAATCTCTTTGAATTGGTTACTGATAAAAAAATAAAGCAGCCAAACGGATTTTGTGATAATTATTCAGCTCAGCAGTATGGGATCATTGAAAATGTAAACAAACATAATTTTCAGGCTAAGCCCCAGAGTGGACTTTATGATCCTGAGGAAGGTCCAAAGCATTTAGATGGTTTACCTCAAAATACATATCAAGATCTGTTGGAGGCACAGAGTCATTTTAATAGCCACAGACAGGGAAGTGGAGACAACAATATTAATAGCCGTGTGAATCGCACACAGGCGTCATGCTTTTCTAATTATATGATGGGAGATTTAAGGCATAATCAGAGTTTTCAACAACTTGGTTTAAATGGGTTTCCCTTAAGATCCACCCACCCATTTAGCCATTCAGTTGTTCCCCTGCTGGATTCCTATGATTTGTTTTCTTTTGATGACTTAAGCCATTTATACCCTTATTTCAATGATATGATGTACGGTGATAATTCCTTTTCTGGTTTCGTACCAACTTTTGGATTTCAAAGACCAATTAAAACCCGTAGTGGGCCAGCCAGTGAACTTCATATTCGTCTAGAAGAATGCTATGAACAATGGAGAGCATTAGAAAAGGAGAGAAAAAAGGTAACACAAAGCTGTCCATTTAGGAGTAACTTAGGATGTCCCCTATGCCTATCTCAATTTTGTTTACCTTTGTGTACTTTGAGTAACTTGCTTTATTTCTAAGATGACTTCTTTCCTAATGGGCAGTATTTGTTAAATTCATGACTATAAGAAATTAATTAGGTGACTTAAAGACTAAAAAGGCTGGGGGAGGGGGAATGGAGACATCTGTGATAGTGTCACCAATAAAAACAAAAATAAATGTTTTAAAAAGACTAAAAAAACTTGGGATTAAAAAATTGTTGCTTATATAAAGTTTATTTTGCCAGTGAAGTAGACTTTTTCCTTAATGGGTTAAAAGTTTATTTCTTTGAATTTTTATTTATTTTTAAATCTTTACCTGAGTATATTTTTCCATTTATCTTCAGATAGAGTGGGAGAGAGGGAGGGAGAGAGAGATCGATTGGTTGCCTCCCACATGAGGTATGACCAGGGTAAATCGCAACTGAGGTACATGACCTTGACCAGAATTGAACCTGTGACTCTGGTCCCCAGGCTGACGCTCCAACCACTGAGCCAAACCCACCAGAGCATATTTCTTTGAATTTTTTAAGTATTAAACTGTTGGAGTGTTCAGGTATTTTATTTGTATTAAGTGTAATAGAAAAATACTGTGGTTTGTATTTGCTGCCTTTTGATACCAAAACAATTATTATTTAAAGGAGTAGTTTTTCATTTATTGCTTAGGCCGAAGAGAAATATTACAATTGAATCATATTTGGAAAACTTATAATCTAAAAATTATATAATT